CCGCAACCTCATCCCACATCCCTCCTGCCTCCACCACAAACATCGCCGACGAGTTAGCGCGAGAGCGCGAGTACTGGGAACGCGATATCGACGTCAAAATGATCTTCAACTTCCTCATGAAACGCTTCTCCTCACGACGCCCCAGCATTCCCTCGTCTTCGCAAACCATTTCCCCACCACAACCCCTCCGCACCGCCAGCGCTCCTTCCACAACCACAAACGACAATCTCAGCTCCGCCCGCCGAGCAGCCATCATCCGCCAACACCACCCTTTGGTAAACCGGACGACGACCGATAGCAGACTCCCCACGTCGTCCGCGCCTCACTCGAGGGAGTCACGGCGCTTCGCTACATACTACGCGCCCCCGACCGGTGGCAGCAAGACTAAACTCAGGAGTAGCTCTAGTTGCGCCAGTCAGAGTACCAAGAAGAGCAAGAGAAGCGGTGGGTCATCGAGAAATTACTGGGATCTTGGTGGTAGTGTGGGTAGCGGGAGTGTTGTTGGTGGCTGAGGTGAGATGGAAGCCTAGATGAGAGAAGACGAGATATTGACGGACGATTACGATTATTACCCTTTTGGCATTAGAATACCTTTATGAGCATGGCAGTCGCAAGAGCATAGATTATTGGAGTCGATTTGGATAGCCCTTTTTACATGGCTAGTGTCGCTGCTGGATAGAGCGGCGAAGGAACGGTTTTTACTCTCTCACCTTGGCTATAAATCAGAATACCACTGTTTAGATCTTTTTCAGCTCAATTGTATAAATACATTCTTACTCATCGTCACTGTCCTTGGAAGTAGACTCAAGCAAGTAGTCATCGAAAGCCTTATATTGATGTAGGCTTCAAGGGCCTCTATTATCACCGACGATGTGATTGCTGGAATCTTTTGTAGCAGGCAACGCGTTTACTGATTCCTTGATCGAGGTGGACAAGTCATCATGTAACGCACAACCTCACATCACAACAACACAAACACTCGAATACGTTGGTATAGCACCATGCTACCCACGCCGAAGTCAGAGACCCCAGCGCAGACACGCTGGCACTTGATTGATTCTCCCTATATCCCATCCTCCCCGACCACTACCAACTTCGCGCTCTAGCGCGCGAAACGACCTCACGTACGTGTTGACAACGTACTGCGGTCCAACAATTGTTGAAGCTCTGTATATCTACAGCCTGCCCTAGGCCGATCTAAATGAAAAGGAAATCCGCATAGGAAACTTTTGGAAAGTACAAACGGGCTGGTATCATGTGGGTATAGTTGTAATGCCCTGTGGACGCCGTTGAAACACTTGTTGAAAAGGCTCATTTACCCGCCTCCCAAAGATATGCAAATCTTTCTCACTCACTGACTGCGCGACGGACGCATTTGCCGTCGCGTTTATTAACTTTGAAAACGGTTGGGCTGAAGTTGATTCAAGCCCACCTTTATGTCTTAATCAAGGCGTTAGAATTAGAACTTGAGCTCCTTGGGCTTCTCCCATGTGAAGTCTTGGTTGGTGAAGTGACCGTTCTTGGCGGTCTGGAAGTAGATGGGGTTGATGAGGTTGAGCTCCTTGACGATGACACCGGGGCGGAGGTCGAAGTTGTTCTTGACAATCTCGACGAGCTCGTCGGAGGAGCGCTCAGAGGTGCCGTATGTCTCGACGAAGAGGGAGAGGGGCTCGGCGACACCGATGGCGTAGGACAGCTGCACGAGTGCGCGGCGAGCGAGCTTGGCCTGAACCAGGGACTTGGCGATCCAGCGCGCAAGGTACGCGGCGGAACGGTCGACCTTGGAGTAATCCTTTCCGGAGAAAGCACCACCTCCGTGGGCACCCCAGCCACCGTAGGTATCGACGATGATCTTACGTCCGGTGAGACCGGCGTCACCCTGGGGACCACCGATGATGAAGAGACCGGAGGGTTGGATCTGACTATGTTAGTATGCTGGACGGACGTATGGAGGTTTCTGGACATACGTGGTAGACGGTCTTGTCATCGAGCATCTTCTCGGGGATGACCTTCTTGATGATCTTCTCCTTGATCTCCTCACGAAGCTTCTCGGTGGTAATGTCCTCGCTATGCTGGGCAGACACGACGACGGTGTCAACGCGGAGAGGAACGACGGCACCGCCATCGTGGGCGTACTCAACGGTGACCTGAGTCTTGGTGTCGGGCCTGAGCCATGGCAGAGAGCCGTCCTTGCGGGCAGCAGTCATAGCCGAGTTCAGCTTGTGAGAGAGGAGGACGGTAAGAGGAAGGAGCTCGGGGGTCTCGTCGGTGGCATATCCGAACATGATACCCTGGTCTCCAGCACCGAGCTTCTCGAGAGCCTCCTCGTAGTGGAGACCTTGAGCAATGTCGGGCGATTGCTGCTCGATGGCAACGAGGACGTTGCATGTCTTGTAGTCGAAGCCCTTGTCGGAGCTGTCGTAGCCAATGTCCTTGATGGCACCACGGATGATCTTCTGGTAGTCGAGGTGGGCCTTGGTGGTGATTTCACCGAAGACCATGATCATACCGGTCTTAGCGGCGGTCTCGCAAGCGACCTTGGAGAGGGGGTCCTCCTTGAGGCAGGCATCGAGGATGGCGTCCGAGACTTGGTCGCTGGCATACAGTCAGATATGTGCCGAAAGTTGTGGAGAAACCCCCGGTTTCAGGAAGTGGGGATGCCGTCTATCACGCCGAGCGTTACGTGTCTTATCGCGCAACGAACAACGGTGCTAGAAGCAATTGAAGGAATGGAAGAAGCGTACGTACCAGATCTTGTCAGGATGACCCTCGCCAACTACAAAGGTGAAGATACGAAGTCAGTAATTATCGCACAGGGACTTCATGCAGCCACTACTAACCGCTCTCCTATAATGAGTATGAGCATGCTGCCGTCGCACAATAAGTATATGGGGGGAGAGGGGGGGTTGAGGTTGGGGTTGGGGGGAGACTTAAAGATGTGAAAAGGAAGGTGCTCTTCGGGCTTCCGTTGATTACTGTCATGATGGCGGTTGGTGTGGGAGGAAGTGAATGGTTTGCTAGTTAGGGCTTTCGACCGACCACGCTCTTGTAAAAGGAAGATTCGGATGGTGAGGAGAGGTAAGTGAGGGGCTAAAAGAAGTGGGATTTAAAGCATGCAGCGAGCTTTGGGCGTTTGGGCTAACTGCCGACAAAGTGAAAAAAAGTGGATTGGGTGAGGCAGGGCGGCCGAACCGCAGCTGGGCAGCGTGGGGACGCTATGTCGCCATTCGGCGTGCGATGCCCAACCACACGCGCTCCCCTCATATCCCTCACCGCCCGCCCGCAGAAAAGTGTCCCGCCTCGATTCTGTTAAGCCGAAGTGACGCGCCATAACAACTGAGAGCTCAACCGCGACGATGAGTAAATACGGCACCCTGGTTATGGTATGTGGATCGCTCTTTGGAGGAATATCCTAAACTAACAACACAAGGGCCCTGCGGGTGAGATGCATCTCTGTATAAACTGCACAGGAGACATTTGCTGACTTCGTTCACCCATATCAAAGGCGCCGGAAAGAGTACATTTTGCACCGCTCTAATACAACACCTCCAAAACAGCAAACGCCCCTGCTTCTACGTAAACCTCGATCCCGCCGCCGAAGAATTCGCCTTCGAGCCCGACCTCGACATCAAAGACCTCATCAGCCTCGAAGATGTAATGGAAGAAATGAGCCTGGGCCCCAACGGCGGGCTGATCTACTGCTTCGAGTTCCTCATGGAGAATCTCGACTGGCTGACGGACCCCCTCGAAGAAGTCACCGAAGACTACCTCATCGTCTTCGACATGCCAGGGCAAATCGAACTCTACACACACGTACCCATACTACCGGGCTTGGTCAAGCACCTCATGACGGGCTCCCTCAATATCCGCATGTGCGCCGCGTACCTCCTCGAAGCGACGTTTGTTATCGATCGGCCGAAATTCTTCTCTGGCACGCTGTCTGCGATGAGCGCTATGATGATGCTGGAGATGCCGCATATCAATATACTGAGCAAGATGGATTTGGTCAAAGGGCAGATTGCGAAGCGCGATCTTAAGCGCTTCGTTGATGTCGATGCGGATCTCATCGAGGACGATCCTGCGCGCAAGAAGCACACGCCGGAGGAGGAGAGGAAATACAAAGACCCCGCGTCGACTGAGAGTCTCATGAGCGGGTCGTCGTTTCACAAGCTCAACAAGGCTGTAGCGGAGCTGATTGATGGGTTCAGCATGGTCTCGTTTCTCAAGCTGGACGTGCAGGATGAGGACAGTTTGGGTGCGGTACTGAGTTACATTGACGACGCCATTCAATTCCACGAGTCGCAAGAGCCGAAAGAACCGAAGGATATGGAAGTCGAGTGATTTTCACATCCGAAAGTGTTTGCATTCAAGGTGTTTTGGCTACGGTAGGCATGTCTGGCATTTGCGGGCGTTTACGAATTACGATGGTTGGAGCATACATGGGCGGTGGAGGTGACGGACAACACGAGCAGAGATACGATACCCAATACAAAGAACAATCATGAGTAATCACCTAGTGAACTACATTGATCAAACTTATACGAGATACACCATTGCATGTACGGAAGTACGTGTGTTCGGGGCAAACGGCTTATTTGTGTAGTATTACCCGAAACACGGCGGATTATGAACCCCTCGCATCAACGTACAGTACGGTGCAGGTAGTAAGCCAGCACAGGGCCTCGTTAGCTGCTTCCTGTATACGCGTATGTCCAATTCATAACCTGGCGTACTCTAACAAACGACTGCCAAAAGTTTCTTGTCGTCGTCCGGCGGCTCGGGATACGTTCGGAGCCGCGCGGTGCTCGACTTGAGCGACGAGAAGACGGCACCCGTGTTCCTAACCAGCGCTTCACGAAGATATGTCGTTATGCATTAGCGCCGACGTTTCCGGTCCCTTCTCGCATGTTGTTAGCATGCTCTATGCCAACTCATCATGTGTAGGATCCGTGGTATCCGCGACTCAAGGCATCGGTGCAGTGAGCTTGCATCACGCAATCTCACCTGCGCCGGCTCCTATCACCACTAGCCTGCTGCGCAGCTTGCTGAGCGGCCTCGTGCCCCAGCTCACCGCGCAATGCCTTGAGCTTAGCTTCTACCTCTTCCTTCTTCTTAGCCTCCTTATCCAACTGCCTCTCCACATCCTCCATCTTCTGCTTGAAGAAGTCCTGCAGCGCCTGCTCTTGCTCCTGGCTGAAAGGAACCTCGTCGGCTCCCTTCTCCGGCAGTTGGGCGCTGCGCTCGCCGTTCGGCAGACCGCGCCTGAGCCTGCCGTTTGCACCGAGCGAGGCTTTCTTAGAGCCGCCCTTGCCGGCGGGTATGAGGTAGTTCCACTGGTCTTCCGATGTGAGGGCGTCGAAGAGGGCTTCGGTGGGTTCGTTAAACTGCACCACCTCGAGGAACTCGGAGCGCACGCAGCCTGTTCGTTCTTGCTCTGCTTGCATCTTTTCGTCGCCGTACTTTTCCAGCTGCAGAAAGTGTTGTCGGTATTGCGCCTTCTCGCCTGAGATGGGCTGGAAGTGCAGTCTTATGTCGATGTTGAAACCTCCCCATCCTGTTTCGGTCACCTCGAACGGTGGCTTTTCTACCATGCGCAAAGGGTTCTCGTATGTGTTAAATATTTTGAACGATACTTTGTTGAGCCAGGCTCGGATGTCGGGGTCGCCGTCGGGTACGCGCACGTATACTGTCCAGCGCTTCGTGTGGTCGTCGGGTACGCCCTTGGGCCGGTCGGGGTGGCCTACTGGGGGCAGTTGCCAGGCTTCGGAGCCGATTACTGCGAAGAATGAGTATATGATTCGTCGCATAGGTTGTGCTGCGTCTTACTGAGGTTGCGACTGATGCGCTTGTTCTGCCCATCATCAGTATGCGCCTACAGCTGTATCGGGGCGGCCGACTTGCCTTGACGCGCTTATTTGAGGCGGGCGCAGGCATCTTGTAAGTCGTGTGAAATGGAATCAGCAGACACGGTCTTGTATGTTTTGTAAAGTGGTATGCGCAAACGATAAAGTCGTGTATTCTGTCAAAGGTCGAGCTACGACTGGCACCGATATGCAGGCACGCAAGCTAAGAGCTAATCCTTGTCAGCCCGCCCCGCCTACTTGTCCTGTCCCTTCCCACCTCCCTTCTCGTCCCTCGTCCTCTGGTTGTACAGTTTCTCTTGCTTTCCAGCATTCGGCTTTCCCTCGATCCTGTCCAGCGAGTCCTCAATTAGTCCAATATGACCGCGTAGTGTTCCTTCTATCTCGTCCATGCGCGCCTCCTGCTCCTCCTCCATGTGGTCCAGCTTCTTCGTCACCCGAGATCCTGTAGAATACAACGGTTAGAAGAACAACATTGCGCGCTTCATACTGAGAGTGGGATTGAAGGGAGTGTGCAGTACCAAGATATGTCGCGAAGCCGGCTACAACGGTGAGGTTTGTGCCTACGAGGACGAGGTCGTTCTTGAAGAGGTTTCTGAAGGCTTGCATGATAGCTTGGTGTATGAATATTGCTTTCGTCTGGAGAGATGCGAAGTACAAGCCAGCAGTCACAATACCATATTGCATTTGGCTCTGGCAGAGGGTTCCCGTACGCTAATATGGAGCGTCATGACGACATGGACTTTCTTTCTACTGGCCAGAACTGCGAGTGCAACGTGCCTTATAACGCCATAGTGCTAATAACAGGTTCATCCTATCTAGTCCATATGTATGTCTCGTTGAAATACGTCTTGACATGGAGCAACGACGCGACGTATATGCAAGACGCGGAGGTGAATAGCATCTCCGCATATCCCTGTTCGATCTTACGCGACAGACGCGAAGTGGAGTGACATCAGCACTCGTCCCTTTCCATCAGCCATTGCTCTAGCAGACAACAGTTTGACCATTTGTCTGATCAACCACCACACAACACAACAATGGCCTCCACAACAGCACAAGCTGCAAAGAAGAAACTCGTGGTATGCGGCGGCAATGGCTTCTTGGGTATGCAATTGAGGAATTCCCCCGAGCTAGCTCGAGCAATAGCTTTACACCAGCACAACAGCTAGCTAATGTAGCAAACAGGTAGCCGGATATGTAGAGCAGCAGCACACAGAGGCTGGAGCGTAACCTCGATCTCGTACGCCCACATCGCCCTCCCAGCTCCATCCCAATCCTCTATTAACACCCTCCCAGACGCTCCGGCACACCGCACTGGTCCTCCGTCTCCTCCTCGCAAACACCACCCGACTGGTCCGAAAAGGTCTCATGGCAAAAAGGCGACATCCTCGACCCAGAATCCTACACAAAGCACCTCGAAGGCGCAGATGCCGTAATACACAGCATGGGCATATTGCTAGAAGCCGACTACAAAGGCGTAATCAGCGGACGGGAGAGCCCAATCAAAGGACTACAACGCGCCTTCAGCAGCACCAAGGCCGGAACACAGAATCCGCTCACACGGAAGGAGGGGGAGAAGTTGAGGCCGCAGGAGAGCGACGGGCAGCTTACGTATGAGATTATGAATCGGGATACTGGTATGTTGACGCAGGCATTGCCGTTGCTTTCTCAATTGGCGCAAACGACTAACTGATTGTTTGAACAGCTGTTTCCCTAGCCCAAGAAGCCTCAACCCGCAAAGTCCCAACCTACCTCTACATCTCTGCCGCAGCCGGTACACCCATCCTACCCGCACGCTACATCACAACGAAACGCGAAGCCGAGTCCCTCATCGCATCTACCTTCCCTACCATGCGGTCTATCTTCATTCGCGCGCCCTTCATGTACGATAGCAGCCGCACATTCACACTGCCTATCGCGGCAGCGGGTGGTGTGGCTGCCATGATCAACAGCGCGGTTGGAGGAAGACTGACGTGGCTCATGGGCGCGGGTGGCATTAAGCCGCTGAAAGCGGACCTGGTGGGTGAGGCGGTTGTAGAGGCATTGGAAGATGAGGATGTTAGGGGCCCGGTTGAAGTACCGGAGATTGAGAAGCTGGGGACGAGAGCGTGGAGGAAGAACATGCTATAAGGCAGACGAAAGATATGGATAATTTATGGAATGATACTTGATTCATAATACCTCAACAACTTCGATCGCATCTATCTAGCACACTGGGGTAGACTCCGAACATTTGTGCTCGACAAGGTCTGCTACAAAGCAGCTTCCCTTTCTTCAGCCGTACCCAGGACCCTGGCCTGCACACGGAAGCATGTACCCTAAGGTGGCTGTGAATCCGGTACGACTCAGGAGAGCCGGACTTCTGCGTTGTGGAGTCTGAAGCAGCGCTGTAACGAGGCTGTTCAGGCCTTAGAATGACCCTGCTGCGATGGCCTATTGGGCTTCTTCTCTTGATGCTCCATCTTTATGCCGCATGCGAACTAAGATATGTACCTGAATCCAGTGCTCCTGTCCACATGCTCTTGGCAATACTACGCGATCGCGAGAACACTGCAAGACCAGATGACATCTACGCTCACTTCTTCTTATGCCCACCCCCATTCACCAACTTCTTCTTCATATGCTTCGGCATCTTCTCCTTCCTCTTCTCACGCTTCTCTTCCTTAATCGCCTTCTTATGCGCCACCTTCTCGTCATGATCAACGTGTTTCTTTCCACGGCTAGGTCCTTTGTCGAAGATACTCTGATCAACCTCGGATCCTGAGCTACCGTCGTCCGACTCAGCATCGGAGGCATCCGAGCCGTTGTTAACAACATTATCGGCAAGAAGGGCTTGGTAGGGAAGGTCGGAAGCACCGCCGGCGTTTACGAGCTCGGCGTCGCGTTCGATGTCGTAGACTTGCTCGAGGGTTTGGGGGATGTATTGGTTGCGGAAGACGTCGTCGTCTTCTTCCTCTTTCTTTCGTTCCTCTTCCGTCAACGGCTCTTTGTTTAAGAGGGTGCGGATGCTCTCTTCCATCTGCGTCTGCTCTTTGACAGTCTTCGCGCCTGCCGCGCTGGTGATGTAGGCGTAAGCCTTGCGCTCACTCAGCGTCTCGACGTTGCGGGAGCGGAAGAAGTCAGATACGTTCTTGACATCCATGCGCAGGAACTCGAGAGAGCGAGGATGGTCATGCTCGACGGCTTGTGAGACATCGATGATCCACTGCTTGCCCTCGTGGTACAGGACGTTGTACTCGCTCAAATCTGCGTGGACAAGACGACATGTCTGGTACATGATGCGCATGTACGCCAGCATCTCGAGATATAGACTTGTCCACTTCGCATCCTCTTCCTCTGCTGTGAGACCCTCGAAGCGCACGTCCTTCAGACGAGGCGCTGCCTTGCCTTTGCGGTCACCGACGAAGCCCATGACGAGAACGTGGTTTCGCAGCGCATGAGCCATTGGTGATGGAATGCCTGCGTCGTGTATCCTAGCCAGATTCCTACGCTCCTTGTCTGCCCACATCCGTACCATGGCGCGGTTGTTGCTCTTGTTGTATCCTTGCCTAAAGCGGAACTCGCCCTCGACGTACTTCGCGCGGTCCTTGAAGACGAGGATGGACGTCTTGTATACCTTGACGGCACGGTGAATAGGGTCGGCGTCCTCTTCTGGGGCTTCCGTCATCGCATGGTATACGTTGGCTTCTTTGCCCGTAGAGATGACACCGTGAATCTCTGAGATTACGCCGCGGTTTATGAGTTGCAGGAGGATCATCTGCGTCCTCCGATCTAAAACTTGTTCGGTTGTCGCGCGGTCTGCCTTGTCCTTGTCCCTTGCGTTACCCCCGGACGCACCCGTCATGCGCCCGGTGAGGCGAATCTTGCCCGCATGCTTTGCGAGGGAGGCGACTTGGTCGTCGATGGAGGCGTTTGTGTTGGCGGACGGCTTTTGTGGATTCGACTTGGGCTTGTGATCGTCTGGGATGTTCGTGTCGTTTAGCTTTCGCTGGCGGTTGTAGGCCTTGGTGAAGTCGTGGTGGTCGCCCGATATTAATTCTGGCACTATCTCGTCCTCGTCCTCGAAAAGGTCGTCAATTTCGTTATCATCGTCGTTAGTGGGCGTTTCGTTTGTGACGGGCTTTTCAACCTGGTCAACTTCTTCATGCTGTTGCTGTGGCAGCTCTACTCCTCCGTCGGTGGTGGCCATTTTGGTTGTATGTGGAATGTTTACAGGATCTGAAGGATCGGCATGGGCATGTATATTTCGTCACACGTGAAATTCGAATAATTCTGCCACCGAGGGGCAACGGCGGGGCGAGCCCTGGAAGGCGGTGTAGCGACGAGTCACGTGCCGATAGTGAGCCCTACTACCTAGGTAGGTACCCACGGGCGAAAGTGAGCTTCGGCTTCAATTGTGAATCTTAGTAGCCAGAAAAAATCAAGTGAAAAGCTTACTAGCTATTTCTGGGTAGCGCCCCGTTTACACCTGCATCTCACATGTCTGGCACCGGGCGTCGGAGCGACTGCGCCGCCTACCAAACTGCACCTGTCAGACATGCCCCTTTGCAACCTCTCCGCGCGTCTTTTTTTGCGCCGACATGTTTGCAACCGGCCGTTGGAGAGACGTCATTGATAGACGGATGATCGCCAAGATTAGATAGGAGAGCGCGCATCGCTCCAGCTGTCAGGGCTGCCCAGGTGCGCATCGCAATGACGGGAAACGTCAATCCCTCCCACTTGCTGGGCGCAGCGGCACAGCCACATCCACGCAGCCGGCCAACGCCCAAAGCATAAGAATTAGTGGCTGGGAAGAAGAAACGTGAGCCAGATGATGCCAGGCACTTCTCTATTCTGATAGGCGCCTGCGGCGTCGCCGCCAGAACGGGCTCCGCGGCTCGACTATCCTGACACGCCCTAGTCTCCACAGACGGCTGGTGAAACACTTCAGGAGAGCCATCACGACCATTCAGGTCTACGCAGCGCTTGAACTGGAGACATTTTGCATGGGCTTGAGAAGCCGCATGGACTTCGGCCGCTGGCCGCTGATGCGCGTCCTGGTGCGCAGGGGAGATTGCTTCGTATAGCATTTCGTGACTTTTAATAGTCGGTGCTCCTCTGACACGCAGCACTGGCCTGCACTCTTTGTCTAACCTTTCATACTTCACACTCTCTCAGTCGATTCTCTGGACGCAGGTCGACCTCAGTCACTACATTCTTTTCAACGCTCGCTTGCGAAGCACTACATTCCTTAACACCACTCTACGCATTGTTGACATTGTGTCTTGCGTGTGAAACGACTCCGTACAGCACATCTCGGACGACTACTTCTTTTTGTGTTATCAACTTATCTCGAACAACTAGACTTTACCGAGATATCCACCATGCGCTTCTCCACATACACTACCGCGAGCGTGCTGGCTGCTTTGGCCACCGCTCAGACCTTCACCGATTGCAACCCCATGGAGAAGAAATGCCCTAACAACCCTGCCATGCCGCAGAATTGGGAGACCGACTTCACTGCCGGAAAAGATGCTATCAAGGGATGGAAGCAGACTGCCGGTTCACTGAAGTATGGACCTGAGGGTGCTGAGTTCACTGTTGCCAAGAAGGGTGATGCTCCCACCATTGGATCCGAGGCCATGCTTCACTTTGGATACGTCGAGGTCGTCATGAAGGCAGCTCCCGGCGTTGGCATCATCTCCTCCATTGTCCTTCAGTCTGACAACTTGGATGAAGTCGACTGGGAATGGATTGGTGGTGTAGACAGCCGTGTTCAGCAAAACTACTTCGGCAAGGTATGTGGACACAATTTGTACTTGTCGTCTTAAGGAGACTAACATCAGCCAGGGCAACACTACCACCTACGATCGCATGATCGAGGCCGATGCACTCAACAACCAGAATGAGTTCCACAAGTACGCTCTCAACTGGACTTCTGAATCGCTCACCTGGATTGTTGACGATAAGCCAACCCGCACATTGAACTTTGCCGATGCCAACGGTGGCAAGAATTACCCCCAAACGCCCTGCAATGTTCGTCTCGGGAACTGGCCAGGCGGTGATTCCAAGGACGAGGGCACTCGCCAGTGGGCTGGTGGTAACGTCACCTACGACGATGCGCCCTTCACCATGACCGTCAAGAGCATCAAGGTCATTAACTACTCTCCTGGCAAGGAGTATGAGTGGACCGACAAGACTGGCGACTTCAAGTCCATCAAGGTCATCGATGCCGGTAACACAGAGGGTGCTCCTGTCAACAGCGTAGCCATCGAGGACTCCGCCGCCGCAACCGGAGCTCCCATCGAATCTGGCATCGACGCCCCAGCCGCCACTGGTGGTTCTGACAGCGGTTCCGACTCAAAGTCCTCGGGTGCATCCACCACCTGCACAGAGAGCGACGCAGCAAAGCCCACGCCTCCAGCTGTCCCAGCCGGCGGCAACGGCGGATCCGGCTTCAACTACCCCACCGGCGGCGCCGCTGTCCCTCAAGAGTCAGGCAGCCCTGACTCTCCCACTGGCAGCGACAGCGAAGATGAGCCATGCGAGTGCGGTACTGCTACCGTCACCGTCACCGGCGCTCCCCCGGCAATCACCAACGCACCACCCGCCACCTTCACGACTGAGTATCCTGCCGTGCCCATCTCCAGTCTGATCACTTCCGCGGTAACTTCATCTCCTCCCTACCCCACCGAGTCTGGTCTGGAGATCGACACCAGGTCCGCACCTGGTGTTGTTGTGCCTTCAATCGCGCCTACTGGTGCGCTGCCTCAGCCCTCTGGCAACGCTACCTTCTCTGCCCCACCATCGCAGTTCACTGGTGCGGCGAGCCATGTCAAGGCTGGTGGTCTTGTCGGTGCTGTGATGGGTGCTGTCTTGCTTGCTTTCTAGATCGCTTGACGGGATACTGATGATATCGGAAAATATATGCAAGGGAAAATTACGTTGGTTGTAAATATTATAACAGTGGTAGAGCGTTCGATACGCATACTACATTTTTGACGATAAAGACATGTTTTGATCAAATTCTTTGTTCCGTTTAATGTGCAATCTTCGTGGAAGTCGCTACTGAACTTTGCCATGTGTGAGATACTACCGATAAAGCTTGTCCTTCCTAGCCGGCTTTCCATCCTTAAGTCCAATCCTCCCTACATCATCATCAGGATCCATGTCAGCAACGAACCCCGGAATCCCATGCAAAGCCTCACACTCTTCAATATCAGCGATCGTAGAATACCGCTGAAGCTTGGCCCTGTACGTCTGCTGCAACTCGGCCCCAAGCCTGAAGACTGTATGCCCGTCCAGAATCGCGCTCCATCGTCGTCTGAACCCATAGACAAGGCAGAGACCTGAGCTGATCAATGCCCATAGTCCGAATAAAGCCACAGGAACAGCGGCTGGCATGACGCCCGGTTCAATCACGGTGCCAGCGACAAAAGCTGTGAGGTTGGGGACGTGTGACTTGAGGCGTGTTCCGTTGACGCCTATGAAATCCCGACCGTCATTGTACATGAGCTTGATGGCGTAGGTGGAGTAAGCTTGTAGAAGGACTTGTCGAAGTTGGTCGGCTTGTAGATATTCCAGCTGAGCATTAGATCTCATATTGCCAAAATGAACACCTCCAATATCGTTTGTAGATGCGGCAAGCGGTGACGGCAGGCCGATCGAGTCAAATAGTCACCTCAGCCAACTACCGTCTTTGATGTTGAGTGTACACACAAGTGTCTCTGCGCCAAAACGTTTCGCACAAGCGTCCTTTCGAGCAGGCACCGGGGTGTCACTCCGTTGGAAGTCGGAGTAAGTAGAGCGCACGCCGTTGATGTTTGCTGAGCCTACACTGCTGCTTGACGTACAGGATGCACCAATTGCTTTGAGCTTCTCGTTATCAACATTGACATACTCGCCAGTCAGCGACTCGATAGTACGGACGATGGTGTTGTTCTGAGAACCTGGTAAGGCGTAAAGTGTCTGCCACAACAGGACCTCAAAAGTCCTCTTGCGTTCGATTCCGGGATACGGTTTTGAAGGATCTTCTTGCAGGTTATGATAGCAGTAAGACGTTGACGGGTTCTCCATTTCATCAAGCCAGCCGCAGGGCGGTTCTTCGTTCGAACCTGTGTGTGGCGACAAGGATTGATACGCAGTCTCTATGACTGCACCCATTTTCATTGTCGACTTCGTTGGGTTGGAATCGACTCGTGACTCTTTCATTACCTCCACCAAGGTGTTGTTGTCATGGAGACGATATGACATGTAGGTAATGTGTTTATCATGATCGAAAATGAAGCATTTTGTGCAGTTCGAACTAGGAATTGTGCTCTGTACGAGAGCCGGAGTGGACGTAGGAGCTGAAGCAAGGCTTTCGGTGGGGCCTAACGAAAAGGCTGCTGTCGTGAATTCGTCGATGGGAGGATTCTCAACCGCTCTGCGTTCAATTCCTATTCGTCCGAAATCAGAAACGATCGATTTACTTCTCCAGACATCTGTTGAAGATCGACGGTCTTTTAAGAGAACGAAGTCAGGCAATCTGTCTACGATCTTGCAGTCGTAATGTAGTAACAAGCCCCAGGCTCTGCCCTCAAAAGGAGCCTCACCTTGAGCGGTCAAAAAGATTTCTTCGACGCCCTCAATACTTGGCAGTATCACCGGAACACTCTTCAGAAACTCGTTCTTCTTCCGATCAAAATTTTCAGGCGTATAGACAGCTCCATGTCCGAACACACGTGCACCGTTGCGGAATCCTCTGGACGGCATACGGGCCTCAGGGCTGGTGTTGAAGGTCGATTGAACAAATCCGGTTACATTCACTCCTCGCCCTGACTTACCACGAAGGAAGCCACTAGTCATCTCAAGGCAAAGACCCGATATGGGCCAAGCCACGAAGACAACCACGCTTGGAAGTGCCAGAACAAACCACAAACGAGAAGGAAGCTTGCTATGTTGGTTTCGCACCCTGCGTATTTGCACAACCCATTTGATTGCCTTCATCCAGCCACCGGGACCAGACCATGTATTGTCAGCATGTAGCATAAGACGCATGGCATCTTCAACTTTCCAGGTTTGTTCCATGAGCATGCCAGCTTCAGCACCAGCCAGTCCGTAAAGACTTAAGCTCAGTCCGATCACTCCCGCGACGAACCAACTGTAAAAGACCCATTTGGCACCCGGTGGTCCGAAGGCCACTGTTGAGTCGGGGTGGAGTGGGGCGAGGTAGATGCGCCAGACGGTGATGAGATAAGATACTACGATTATCGGTCCAAGGATGCCGACTATCGTGCGGAAGTAGAAGCGGCGAAGAGGCTGACCGAATGAACCGAGGCCCGCTTCTGGCGAGGTATTGGAGTCCGCACCATCGATATGCTCTGAGGTGAGACTGGCTGTGTGGTTTTGCAACTGGATTTCGGACGGGTGATCAGACGCAGTCGCACCCAAGTTCTGTGGGTACGAATCGACGCTCGCATACTGCGGGTGTGAGCTGATATTGCCATTCTGTTGATATTGAGTGCTATCAACGTCCTGCTGTCGATCGTATTCGGAGGTGAAGCCGTGCTCAGAGAGAAGGCTAATTGAGGAGACCTCCGTGGCGAGCCCATGCGGTCTGCGATTGTCAGTCGCAAAGCCAAGCCTTGTTGCAGAATATGACTTACCCGTAGTCCGACTCATGTTCTTCTGTTTCCGAAGTGCTGGCTCCAGGCACGCCGAGTGAGCTGTAACGTTGAGAACTCATGTCGGCGAGACGGCGAAGATGGGATGCAAACTTTCGCAGTAAGACGAGAAGTGGTAGAAGGCTGGGGAGTGAGCCATCTGAAATATAACATGCACTGCTACCCGTTTCTTTGGCATGGCATTTCAGCCTTGTGATGTTACACAAGGCTGTGGTCGAGGTGTGGGGGTGAGAGAGCGAGATTGAAGTCCAGCCTTGCACCTTCTGCATTGGCAACCAGTCGTACAGGGTCCACATGACAAAAACGATTGCTTAATATTGGCAGGCATCATAGACATCATAGCTTGGTATTGCGCTATCGCTATTGTGACTATGGAGACTGCGTCTTGTAGTCCCGGTGAGAATTGATGCAACCACCTGGCCAATCGCGTGTAGAATACATGTGCACAGTACAAGACAATTCCGCGAAGCCCTAAGTGCGTCTTCCCGAGCACATCCTCATACGGAGTTCAGACATCTCGAACCGTAACCCTGAGATTAGGACCAATCTCCCGCCTCACAACATAAAACCCGCTGTCCTCCCTCCTTTCCGTGGTGTACTGATGCTGTTTACTTCTCTGCCACCACTTCCTCTTAGCAGCTCGCGAGCACTTCGCCTTGATACAACCAATCCACTTGGAGCATTTGCAGAGCGGAAGCTTGTACCATGCACACTTTCCGCCACTTCCAGTCCCCTGCGCTCCTGATTGTGTAGCGTTCTGTCTTCCACCAGAAACGCCCTCAGCCGCAGGCGCACCTCGCGGCTGCAGAGCTGGCGGCTGCCGCTTCGTCCGTCTATCTCTCTGGCCCCACTTTGTCCGCCGTTGAACTCCTTCGAGCAAGGACCCAGGGACGAGGTATGATGATGGATCGGGAGGGTAGGGGTTGACGAGACCGTAGGGTGTGCTGAAGGGTGTGGGTGTGATGGGTTGGAGGTAGGAGAATTTGGTTTCGGAGCGGAGTTCTGGCGTTGGTGCGACGGTGCAGTGGCTTCGTGTACGCCTGAGGTCGGGTGAAGAGTTTGATGCTGGATCATGTTTTACAGGCGCTCTGTGGTATGGATTGGGATAGTCTGTGGGGCTGGGGCGGTGGTGGATGTTTGTGGAGGAAGATGCCGCTTCATGCTTGACTTTGCTCGCTCCCGTCGGGATGTAGTATCCCTTCTCTGGTTCCTCTTCTATCTTGACTTTGGAGGCTGGGTGTGACGCATCGAAGTCACGGAAAGTCTCGACAGCGAATCTCTTGTAGCTCGAGCTAACCGACGGACCTGAAGTTTGGCTGCGAAGTGACAGTACGTCCCTATGTACTAAAGAAACATCGCTCTCCTTTTTCACTACTGTAGATCGGTAGAACTGTTCAGCCAAGGGGGTCGGTACACGGAGTGGCGATTTGGACCATGCTGTTGTGAAGGATGGGTAATGTGGTGGTGTTTCGAGATCGGCTTTGTCTTCGACTTTGATGTGAACTGTATGATGACGAGAGGAAGGTCCTCCGGGCTTGACTACTTTCGCTTCTTCCCTGTAGTCTCGACGTCGGGATGCTGGCGAGGTTGGGTATACCGTGTTATCGGGACTCTCGGGCTCAACTTTCACTCGTGCGCGAGTCTCTTGCTTCCTCCCCACTACTGCTATAGTGCTTTCAGTTCCAAGCGCGCTGAACCGGCCAGGTATTTGTGTGATTTCGGGAGTCCTTGGAGGCGCAACATTCTTGCTTTGTGTACGAAGATCTCGTGCTGAAGAGTTTCGCCTGGATTCGGTGACCTTAGGGACCATTGTATGCCAAAGCTATCTTGCTTGATCTGGTTTCGATAGTATAGTAGATGAGTGCGACGCAAAAGTCGTTCCCTGTCCTCGCAATCTTCGACGATGTTGCTGAATAATTGAATGCAGGTGGGCGTGCAAGACAATTTTCAGACAATCGAAACCCTTGGTGAGTGAGTAAAGATAGAGCCCGGTGATGTGCCATCGGTTGCCGACGATGGGACAACGTGATCGGGGAGGGGCCTGGACGCGGTAGATGCTGTGAGGTCTGCAGGGCAATGACGGATTTCGCTGGTCGTCTACTCAGTGTGGCATGTCATGTGTGGGTGTACCCAGGAAAAAGGGTCCTGGGTGGAGCCATGTGCCCAAGATTTAATCGACCACCTGTTCTTCGCGGATAAAGACGCGTAAGCTGTTTGGTAATTTTTTGATGTAAGCATGCCCGAATGTAAATGTAATGAAGACGTCGGACCAGCGCAAAGAAGACGATGTTGACGGAGTTATGGCATTGTCTGTCGACTGTAAGATCGAAAAACCTGCGTCAGCTGACCACCCATTGACACTGACACTGGCTCAACTGCGCCTCTTCCCGTTGCTCCCGATGCCTAATACGTCCCATACGTTGCGATGTGGAAACTGGAACACTACCCTTGGAATTGTCCAAACGCAACATCACCTCCTCCAAAAGTGGAGCAAGGGTACCGTCCGATTCCATAGTCATTTTCGAACAATAAGGGGTCTTTCCATTTGCCGTCCACTCCTCGACCAACTCAACGGCGTAGGGGAAATCCGGCAGCGTAGTGGAATTATCCACATCAACCGTGCCTGACGCAGTGTTGGTAGCGCTGGCAGTCGTAGCTCTGGTAGGGTAGATGTAACCCTCAACAGTGGTCTCATTGAAGATGCACTGCCACAGACTATCCCCAGGTTGAAATAGGGTATTTGACGTCGAAGCATGCACAAGTGGCTCTCCAGTCAGAGGTAGCTCATCCTCGCTAAGCAATACGATTTTGTCGTACGTAGTGCTGAAGTGATAGGCAAAATCGTTTTCGTGCTCAGCATTGCTAATTGCTAGAAGCTCCAAAGGTGGAATGGTCGGTATGCGTTCGCCATGGGGAACAGTGTTGTTGCTTCCCGGTGGCCCCATGGCTATCATAATCGTGCTGTCGTTGCCCGCCGAAGCTGGAAGTATACTTAGTTGAAAGGTTGAGTTAGATGCACATTGCCACGCATTGGTCTGATCGTTGCTTGCCAGGCATGCCATACTCTGCTGCTGTGGAAGTTCAACAGGTAACGCAAAGATCCCACGTCGGAGGTTGTTGGTGATGTTGGTATTTGGAGGGCCATTGCTAGCAACGTGTGCTGTGGCATCCTCATCGCTGTAAACTCTGTGTTAATGGCATCTCTATGATTTGACTTCGATACATCTTACCTGGTTGAAGATCGATCTTTGACAGCCAGGAGACTCAGCCCGATCGTAAGAAGCATAAGAAATTGTAAACACAGCAAAGCTAGAATACGTTGCCGCTGAGACATTCGCTGCCATATGCACCTCGGAAGGCTAGGGAGAGGCTTGTTGAAATTGTGGACTTCCTCCCATGACGGCACAAATACTTCTTTCTCTTCTTGGTCTGGACTGAGTATAGGAGCCGAAAGAATATTGCTCCTTTCGAAAGGGACCGCCTCGATTCCATCCTCGATCTTTCTGATGAGGCATGTTCCAGAATGAATTCCAGACGTGTTCGTTGAGTCAAAGCCGCCGTAGTTGGCTGGGAAAGTGGTATAGATGCTAGGGAGTGGTTGAATGCTGCTGATGGACCGGTAAGGCATCCGCATGAGTGCAATCCAAAGTTATTTTCGAACAGATATTAATAAAGAATGTATTCCTGGTGTTGGATCTGGACCGGCCAGGCACGCAGGGCTGCAGGAAGCGAATGAGAGAATAGAGAGTGAGTAAAAATAATGAGTGCCGCATACCAGAAATAATTCCACATGAAGGGATATAAACATTGCTCATGACCTGTTGAGTTCATGAGAAGTATGTGCCGTGCTTGCATATCGCTTTAGCTACGCCGTGCTCATACTACAGCTCGATATCCAATCGAACACCCACCACAACCAGGGTCTGCCTGTATCTCGGCTCGTGTTTGCTATCAGATCAAGGACAGATTGAGTAAGAGGCTGGAAGTGTAATCGTTAGCAGCCTAGAGTATTGGCTCTGCGCTCCCCATATGCGATGGATTGTAGGTAAACTATACGATAGCCGCCCATCCTCATGCCGGTCCTTGGGACGGCCGTGGTGCCTGGGAAGCCAAAGCGCGGACCGGACCGAATGCGAACAGCTGTCGCGAAGGATGGGATTAGGAACAACTGAATGACTTGTGCGCTATGCGCGAGCCTGGGGCACGCATATACTTCCCGGCCTAGAGTATTGTTGGCAAGCTGTGCTCAACACCGAGAGGTTCAACTGCAAAAGTCGCGAGTAGAGACCTACGTGTTGAATCGAACATGGTTGTTGAAGCAAGCAGCGGGAAAAGTTGTACCGTGTGTCAACGCGCGTGTTTGGTGTGTGACGACTAGCCGCCGCCCAGACGTGCCGTAGGTCGCATCACGGGTCAAAAGACAGAGCTTTGGTCGATCGAGCAGACCTGGAAGCTGTCGGCCTGTATCTGTGCCGTCTCATTCTTTTACCGCCGAGTGTAGGATTGCAGCACGTGTGAAGGATCATGCTTCGTCGACGGCCTAAGTGATGGGTCCAGGGTACGGAGACGCGTCGTGAAAATGTGGGTGGTTGGTTGGGTTAGCTCCACCAGCTCTTCCGAGGCGGGCAGGATCGACCCGAAGCGCGCCAGGGACCCGACCAATACCTTCACAACCATCCAAAGACATTCCCTCAACTCGCGCTCCTCTTTGGTGAAGAGTCAACATGCGCCTCGAATTGTGCAGATGCGTTCTCGCCCCTAAAATGTACTAATGTCTACCCGTCCTGCTGTTGGTTCCCCAGGTGAACGCAGAGGCCACCAAGTTTCGCAAATATTGACATGTTTCGAAACAAGAAACAGTGCACCAGCGTCATCTCACCATTGTTTCGAAGACAGGCAATCTTCAGGATTTTATACTAGATTGCGCATATTTCCTACTTCGATAGAGCTGACCAACATGGCTCCCCTGGCGTCATCCGCTCCGTTTCCAAACATGCCAAGCTGAACGAGTAGGAGACTGAGCATCAAGATGCCGACATGCTTGCTGATGATCCCATGTTCTCTGCTAATATTAGACATCTGAGAGAGGTAGCGTGCCTGAAGTGGTTCAAGGCTGCGACAACTAAGCTGCAAAGGTGCTGAGCTCATCCACCCAGCCCGAATGTGTGCCACGATGACGGGAGGAAAAACTCAGCCCCAGATCTGAAGCGTATAATACTTGAGCATGAACCGTTGAGAAGTGCTTTTTCGTCCCCCTCCTCGTATTATACCCACTCCTACGCTCGGTCAATATGGAATTATTACAACCTTCTCCCCGCACAGCGCCCGCCTCTATGACATTGATGGCAAGACGACAAAAGATAAACCGGCTGCTGTTCGCATCGAGCGCTTTACTTTGTGCTCTATCCATCACCGTATTCGGATTGATCAGTTCTGTGGTGGCTTGGATACATGACCAGAAGCATCAGGTGCATGTTTATCATGTGAACTGGCCTGGAAATCCGACCCAAATCAATGTCGAACCCAAGAATGTGTGGACGGACCAAGGGCACGAGAGCAACGGCGCAGCAGTATATGGATTTTTCTTGGGCATTCTCGGCATGTGGACAGCATGGAGGATGAGGAAGACTGGACAGGTACGGTAACAATGTTCACGATGTCTTGAACAGGGTACTAAAAGTGTGAATAGGGTCGACAAAGTCTTAGCGCCCTTGCTATCCTGTCGTTGCTCGGAAGCGTATTCTGTTTGTCGGCTTTCATCTTCGTCTTCGTAGTGACATACCAGACGACAGGCCAGCACATAAAGGAACCTATTGCCTCCAACACAGTCGGAATCAACTACCCGTACCTGAGATGGACGCCCGAGACGTGGTTCAAGGCCGTGCTAGATCTCCCTTTGGCTGACGGCGCGCAACACACCGAGATCAAATTTAGGGTCGGATGCATGGTAGCCTGGCGGTGGATATTGCTTCCTCTCTTACTTGTGTTTATCACGACCTTTTGCGTCGCAGCGATAACTTGGTCAAGGCGGCGGCGAGACGACATGGTGGTGCGCACGAATTCAGGGCATTCTGTGGAGGAGAAGGGGTCACGATGAATGGCATGGCGGTACACATGACATTTAGCGAGCTGGCGAGGCGCTGCATGTGCGAACCTCGGCGCGCGTGACAAAAAATGTCCCCACCAAGCTCCGACTCTCTTCCACCCGCAATACGAACACATACAAACACACGCCCCTATCTTCCCCCTCTCCCTCTCCCTCCCCGCCGAGAGCCTTCGCTATGGGCTGGCTCATCTACCTCGCCGCCATGCCGCCCGCGCTCATCATGGCCATGCGCCTGCTCTCGCTCGTGCTGCCTGCGAAGCCCGCCCAGCTGGTGTCGTACTACGCCTTCGCAATAAGCTCTATGCTCCTCATGCTCTGCTGCGCGCTGTACGGCACCCTTGTGGCTATACCTCTGCGCCTCGTGGGCTATGGTGGACTGATCCAGTGGACGGTTGCGCGGGCGTTCAAATGGGTCATGTGGTTGTGCACCGGCGTAACATTCAGAGTGACGGGGAGCATGAAGAAAGAGGGCGGTCTCAGTGGAGAAGACGCCCTCAGAGACCGTCCCGCCATTTTTGTGGGCAACCATCAGACGTGGGTTCACCAGGTCCTCTGGCTAGGCCAACTCTTGACAACGGCGCTGACATTTCTTGCAGCGAACTCGACGTCCTCATGCTCGGCTGCATGTTCCCCAAATACACGTCCGTCACGGCCAAGAAGTCGCTGAAATACGTCCCCCTACTCGGCTGGTTCATGGCCCTCTCCAAGACCGTCTTCATAGACCGCGCAAACCGCACCTCCTCCCGCGCCGCATTCGATACTGCCGCACACACCATGAAGACAACACGCCAGAACGTTTTCATCTTCCCCGAAGGCACGCGCTCCTACGCCTCGAAGCCTGAACTCCTGCCCTTCAAGAAAGGCGCCTTCCATCTCGCCGTACAAGCACAAGTTCCAATCGTGCCCGTCGTCGTTGGCAACTACTACCACGTTCTAGACGTAAAGGGCAAGAGGTTCACGCCAGGCGTGGTGGATGTAACAGTTCTGCCGCCAATACAAACAAAAGGAAAGGGACCAGAGCACGTCGATGAGCTGCTCAAGAAGACAAGAGACGCTATGATGGATGAGCTGATTCGGCTAAGCCACGTCTCAGGCACGGGCAACGGCGAGCCTCTTCCGCGTACTAGTGGGACCGACGGACAGGAGCGCAGTGAGCTGAGGAAACGGAATTAGGACTTCTGGCACATACGGCGTTAGGTGGCGCTTGGTATACATTGATATCCCAAATGAGGCAGGTTCGATACTGTCTGGCTGGTTGGCATGTACATAATCGTAGTTTTAGTACAAAGATCGTTTACTCAAGATTCGCTCAACCCACTGCAGCACTGACGTCAATATATCATGGCTTTTCGAGATTAGCCAGTCGGCTTGGTGTATGATAGACTGTAGAACGACCCAGAATACGAGCTTCCGCGTGGTGTAGGAGGATTGAAGCTCGGCAAACCTTCCCCGACTACGATAGTGCTCGGTGCTCGTTACCCCACAACTACCCCTCCCGTTACCCAATGAGGCAATCCCGTGCTGGTTAGACGCGTGAATGCTGGACAGCGTGTATCTAGGTCGCATATATAGCCATGTTGACGACCATGAGAGATATGTTTTCTTGTTATTGACCATTCGAACGAATTCAAGAGCGTGCTTGGAGCAAGATGGCAGCAAGACAACCAGGGTTAGTCAACGAGACGAAATCTGGAAATGCATTCAGTGTCAATGGGAAAAGTGCCATAGTCACTGGTGCTGGGTCAGGTATAAACTTCTCTTTCGCAGCTTTACTTCTCAGCGATGGCTGCTCCGTCCTTATAGCCGATCTTTCGCTTCGCCCGGAAGCAGAGCAACTGGTCAAAGAATACAGCACTAAAGAGCAAGGGAGACCACGAGCCGTCATTGTCAAGACCAATGTCACGGATTGGCCGCAGCTGGAGCGCATGTTCGAAGTAGGAATACAGGAATTCGGAAAAGTCGACATTGTATGTCCAGGAGCAGGCGTCTACGATCCCCACTGGAGTAACTTCTGGCATCCTCCAGGCGTCGATGGCAGCGCGAGCAGAGACAAGGCGGACGGGGGACGATACGCAACTCTCGATATCAACGTAACACATCCCATTCGCACGACCCAGCTCGCTATATCGCATTTCCTCAATCCACCACCTGGTGTAGATAGAGTGAGTGCGCAGAATCCTAAGAGAGTTCTCATCATCTCTAGTATTGCAGGCCAAAACCCTAACCTCCACGCGCCGATATATACGGCGGCCAAGCACGGGATGAACGGTTTTGTCCGGTCGCTGGGTAGGCTCGAAGCGGAGATGAACATTCGCGTCAATGCCGTCGCTCCGGGCGTCATCAAAACACCACTGTGGACCGAGCATCCGGAGAAATTGGCGTTCGTTGATCAAACCAAGGATGCGTGGGCGACACCCGAAGAAGTGGCAGTCGCCATGTTGAGATGCTTGGAAGAAACCGATCTGGGTGGAGGCACGATCCTGGAGGTGGGCGCGAAACAGACCAGGCTAGTTGAGGCATACGTAAGTATTGATGGAAAACATCCACCCGAGTGTGTGACTGTGTGCTGATGATTGATGATGCAGAACGATCCGGGCCCGAGTGGAGCGGGCCATACTGTCAGCAATCTTGAAGAACAATACAAGGAGGTGTACGGATGGCTGAACCAAGACGGATGGGGCAAGACGACTGGCAAAGCAAAGTTGTGATATCCAGCTATCAACATGGAGAAGCCTGAAGTCGGTCTTTTGGCCGAAGCTGCCCTGGATATGTCCGCGGGAATTCACGATGATAAGCTAAGAATAACATCGCGATAGTGTATAGCCGTGGGTTGTTGGTAGAACAAGCTTCCTCAATCGTATGACAGTGCATTACTCTGCTCCGAGTACCGCCACGTGGGATCTGCTCAGGCATCGCGTCCAGCCACGTCCATCCCGAAGCGCGTCTTGATGGATGGGCCGGACGACAGTGCTCCGAGAGCGGCAAAATTTCTGATCGCTAGCGGTTACTCGAAAGGACCCTCACCGCTGACTGAGCTTGACTTCTGCCGCCATTGCCACCGGTGACGCTATTTTTCCATGGAGGGGCCGGAAGGTGAGGGGCGCTACGTATGAAAGGCCCCACCCATGCAGCTGGCCCAACAACACTTTTACATCACATCAGTCGACAACTTTCCTCACACCTACTACATATCAAGTGCTCTCACAAACACTTGCAACAAACCTTCAATCCCAATTCCATACACATACACCCATCACGATGCCTAGCTCCCTCGAACAGCTCAAGGCCTCCGGCACCGTGAGTATTCACATGCGCAACACCAAGCCTGCGGAAGAATTATAGCTGACCGACTTTCCCTACAGACCGTTGTCGCCGACTCCGGTGACTTCGCTACCATCAAGAAGTACCAGCCCCAGGATGCCACCACCAACCCCTCGCTCATCCTCGCCGCGTCTAAGAAGCCCGAGTACGAGAAGCTGATCGACGCGGCCGTCGCATACGGCAAGAAGAACGGTACCGACCTCGAGAACCAGGTCGACACCACCCTTGACAACCTGCTGGTACAGTTTGGCAAGGAGATCCTCCAGATTGTCCCCGGCAAGGTCTCGACAGAAGTCGATGCGCGCTTCTCCTTCTCCACCGAGGAGTCAGTAGCCAAGGCCCTGCACATCATCGACCTCTACAAGGAGATCGGTATCGACAAGGAGCGCGTTCTCATCAAGCTCGCGTCCACATGGGAGGGAATCAAGGCTGCTGAGATCCTGCAATCCAAGCACGGAATCAACTGCAACCTGACCCTCATGTTCTCCCAGGTCCAGGCCATCGCGGCTGCCGAGGCCGGTGCTTTCCTCATCTCTCCCTTCGTCGGCCGTATTCTTGACTGGTACAAGGCCTCGACCAAGAAGGAGTACTCCAAGGAGGAGGACCCCGGTGTCAAGAGCGTCCAGCAAATCTTCAACTACTACAAGAAGCACGGCTACAAGACCATCGTCATGGGCGCATCTTTCCGCAGCGTCGGTGAGGTCACCGAGCTCGCTGGTTGCGACTACCTGACCATTGCTGTAAGTACTGCCCGCAGGCTCTATATCTGCACATGTGACTAACGAATACAGCCCAACCTGCTCGAGGAGCTGTACAACTCACAAGACGACGTCCCCAAGAAGCTCATCGCCGAGGATGCCAGCAAGCTGGACATCGAGAAGAAGACCTACATCAACAACGAGGCCGAGTTCCGCTTCTACTTCAACGAGGACCAGATGGCCGTCGAGAAGCTCCGCGAGGGTATCTCGAAATTCGCCGCTGACGCCGTCACCCTGAAGGACATCCTTCGCAAGAAGATCCAAGCGGCATAGAGTGTATAATCCGACAACGGAGATACACCGAGCATCTGAACACTCTTACGGCTTTCTTCGGTTTTGATATGAGACATGATGGGCTGGCTTCCAATAAATAGATAGTAAAATTGACATCAGATGTAAAACACCATCTTTCCGTCCTCTCTGTGATATGCTGAAACCTTCAACGTCATGAAAGTGTAAGAAAACGATAGAAACCATGTTAAGTGATGGACCCTCAGGGCTATTAATCATTCGTCGGATCTGGCCCGGCGTTAGAGACCGTTGCGTCACTACAGCCCCGCATTCGGCCGGTGGAGGCGGCTTCAAAGCTCACCTCTAGCCAGCTGTACATCTCCCTCCCATCTCCTCCCCAACAACGCCTCTTTCCGTCACAGATCCCAAAATACACAAGTAATACCATCAATACCCATCACATAACCGTCACAATGGTCAAAGCCGGTACGTATGTTTAGAGTAGCTTCACGAGCTTGCCCTCTTGTGGGAAGGTGGGGTCAGCTCCTTGCGTAAGATTGAGCAGATTATTTGCGACGACACGGTACTCAGGTGTATCGTAACGCTCGAAGAGGTCAATTGGACAGCTTTGGGACTCACAAGGAGTACCATGCTGTCAGTTGGTACCTGGGGCTTGTCGTTGGACTTCTCCAATCAGCTCGCCGGCTGCAAGACACCCTGATGGCCTTCCGCTACACTGCACGCGCATCAACGCGCTACAGAAGCTTGGTACAGCTTGAAGCTCAGAGAGAACGGATGTGCTAACGCAAACGCTATAGTCGCCGTCCTCCGTGGAGACTCGAACGTCAAGGGAACCGTCACCTTTGAGCAGGCCGACGAGTCTGCTCCTACTACCATCTCATGGAACATCACTGGCCACGACGCCAACGCTGAGCGTGGCATGCACGTTCACGCTTTCGGCGATAACACAAACGGTTGCACGTCTGCTGGCCCTCACTGTGAGTACAGACCTAGACCCAGACCCAGACCCAGACCTACACCTACACCCCAACAACCCTGCACCGGATACGCAGGAACACCCACTCTGCAGATCTAGTCATCGGAATAAACACCCATGCTAACACGCCCACCCAGTCAACCCCCACAACAAGACGCACGGCGCGCCCGAAGACGACGAGCGCCACGTCGGTGACTTGGGTAACTTCAAGACCGACGGCCAGGGTAACGCTCAGGGCAGCACCACGGACAAGCTGATCAAGTTGATTGGCGCCGAGAGCGTCGTTGGTCGCACCATTGTCGTTCACGCTGGAACTGACGACCTTGGCAAGGGCGGACACGAGGAGTCCAAGAAGACTGGTAACGCTGGTCCTCGCCCTGCTTGCGGCGTTATTGGTATCTCCAACTAGATGTTGCGGGGTATGAATGTAAACGACGAGGAAGTCTTAGGGTAGCTTGACGAAAATCAATTGCTTTATCCTATTCCTCATCCAAGTGCATCATGCAAATGTGGCTATGGTGTTTTGACGGAAGGCATATGCATTGGTGTGATTATGAAGATCTGACAGAAGAAATATGCATTCGTGTTGCCTACGTAGACTAAGTCACTACCACGACCACCGCCCCAACCATATCCCCGCAGCTGCCACCCACCCGCTCTTCCGCCGAGATGACCGAATCTCAATTGTCCGAGCGCAGCAGCTGGCAGCAATACGTACCAGGTCAGGTTGCTAGTGGACGGGCTAGAGTGTGTCCTAGTCCCCCATGTTGCATCCAATAAAGATAGATAGTGGATCGAAGAAACGAAGACCCGAGCCGTGAACTCCACGCCAATGCAGAGAAAGGGTATCGATGCTTACAGTCGAGAGATAGAGAGTTGTTGATACGCCCCCAATGTCGCAACTTTTTTACCGATGAAGGGTACGCAAAGAGAAGCGGACTGCTGAGTGGATGTGATCAAGGTCAGTAGCAATGGAGGGAATGATGAATGAGAAGCCACCCCCACTCGCACTAGGTGCAGGCCTATAACGGAGAGGGGAGCTAAGAAGGATTACAAGTTGACGACACGGGTATCGTCGTTGAGGAATTGACGGCGATATCTCGCTATCTCCACAGCGATGCCGTTGGGGTCTTTGATGTTCTTCTGGCGAAGTTCCTTGAGCACGCCGCGGAGACCATCATTCCAGCGCTGCTTTTCCTCGGAGGTCTTGCCTGGGTTCGCTGTGCCGAGCTGGACGAGCAGTTTGTCACCTATATGATTACAAGTCAGTTTCCGCGCAGAGGTATAGCCGTCATGAATGGAAAACAAAACACAACGGAAATCAAGACAAAAACGCCTCTCCCAACGCACCAGTAATAGCAACTTCCCTAAAGTGCTGATCGGGACATTCAGGGTCGTTGCATGCGCCGCCAGCTAATTCGTACTGGCAAAGCGGCTTCTCTGGGTTGATCTGATGACTAAAAGTCAGGGACAGGAAGCCACCATTTATATCTTGAGCATAGTTGGGATGATAGCGATAGGACTTGAACATTCGCAGCGGGCTTTCGTACGGAGTAAACCTGGCTGGCTCGGGTTCTTCGTCCTGTTCGGTCACCTCAGGCACCTGGTCTGCATTAGCTAGGCCTCCGGTATGGTGGTTGACGTACAGGTCCGCCAGCGGCCGCCGAAGACGTTACCTCTGGTTGTAGCTCGGGCGCTAGATCATCAGCGATTCCAGCGTCTTGATGTAACGGGTTGTACGCTGAGATGGACTTCCCCATTTCCGGCTCTGGGGTAGACTCGTCGTCGGATTCACTATCGTCAGAGCTTTCGTCAGATGATGTAGCAATGTCCATAGCGCCATCTCCCGCCTCAGCTTGAGCAGTGGGCTCATACTGATCTGCGGTGGATTCTTCGCCGCCCTGGACATCTGGCATGTCTTCTTCGACGTCGGGTGGCTCGTAGGCTTCTTCTTCTTGCGGAGAGGCTTGCGAGCTTTCGAGTGAATACTCAGGTTTGGTCTGCACCTCCACTTCTTCTTCCACGGGTACTTCGGGGATAGCGACAGGTTCTTCTGGCTCGTATTCCGGCTCGTACTCTTCCTCTTCTTCCTCGTCTTCGTCACCTTCGGACACAGACATGTCGACTTCTCCTTCTTCTGATGGCGAGGGGGCAGTAATAGGTTGCTGGATCTCTTGGTCCACAGCAGCACTGGCCTTGGCCTTAGCCACGTCGATCGCATTTTGTACACTCGCATCAGCGTTCGATGAATCACTTTGCGTGTTTTCAATCTGGTCTTGCTGAGCTGTCGAGACAAAGGCTGGCGCCGAAGGATTTAGGGTCCTGGTGCCATTGGTAGATGAATCCTGTGGGCTAAAATGTATCTGTGATGCTGCTGGGTTGAGGGCGCCTTCTGCAGGCATGACCTGTTCTGGCAACTCAGGGGGCTCATAACTCTCCTGCTCGGACTGAACCGTATCCTGTCCAAGTCCAGGAAGTGTCATTGGTACTGAAATGTGTTGGTTTGAAGCTGAAAGTGAAACCGGTGAAGTATCCTTGATTGCGGGCTGCGATGCAGGTTGGGTTTGGTTAGATGGGGAGTTCGAATCCGAAGACTGCTCGCCTTCAATTTCATCTTTCTTGGCTCGTAATTGCGCATGAGACATGCCCTCCGTGTCGACACCCAGATCTTCCAGCTCCTTGGTCAGCTGCTCCTTGTCCTTTGCAATCCTCTCATTCTGCGCCGTGAGCTGCTCCAATTCCTTGGTCAGCTGAGCCATCCTGCTCGCGTTACTCGCAATCTCGGCATCCAGGGTAGGCAGTTTGGACTGGATCTCCGCCCGGCGAAGGCGATTTGTGTCTTTTGAATGTGACGGGAATGATACAAACTGGGTCGTGGATGTGGGAAGCGAAGCTGGAGTGGAGGCTTGGAGAGATGGCACTGGCGTGGAAGTCTTTTGGCTGGCGGAGGGTGATGTCGCGGCACTGGCCGCTGCTGCCAACCTATCCCGCTCCCGCTTTTCAGCGAGCTTCTTCTTGAGTGTCTCGCGCATGGCCACCAACTGCTTCTCTTTGTCCACTAGCTCCTTCTCGCGCGCGACCGTGTTGGGTGTTTCCGCGCCTGAGGTACCGACAGCAGCGGCCGATGGGGTTCCTGGCATCGCGCCGGAGTGGAAGTTAGGAAGGATGCCAGGAGCCTGGCGCGAATTCTGGCCTGCCTGAGGAGCGGGCTGATCGTCGTCAATGTCCATGTCGCTGCCGTTGGACTCGTCTTCGCTAACATCTATTATCATCGAATCGTCTTCCTGGTCAGCATGCGGAGACTGGCCTAGCGGCCGTGTATGAGGAGTAGAAGAATTTGGTAGAGATGCTGGCTGAGGTACAGCCGGAGCAGGTGTATTCGATGTTGAAGACGCGCCCATGAAGAGACCAGGAATGGCAGAGAAGGATGGGGTGTAGGCGGCGCTCGTGGGTGTATGCGAGCCGGGCGTGACTGGCGGCTTCTGTCTCGCCTTGATGGCTTCCAAGCGCTGCTTAATCAGCTCGGTGTTGCGCGCTCTCTGTTCGTCTGTCACAGGCGGCTTCGCAGCGGGCGGGGTCGCAGGCTGAGGCGTTTTGGTAACTGGCGCAGGAGTGGTGGGTTTGGCGGCGGCGGCCTGTTTCGCAGCCTTCGCGGCCTGAAGACGTGCTATGTAATCTTGACGATGCCCCGGAGTGCTTGGCGACGCGACAGACTTGGGCGCATCTTGCGCGACGGGAGTCACTGGCTGGACGGCGGGCGCCTTGGAGACGGCATCGTTGGCCTTGGGTGGCAGGATGGGCGCAGGCTCCGACGGCAGGTTTGCGCTCTGGTACAGGCCCCTCAGCAGCTCGGGGTCTAGCTGCTCATTGGCGAGGGCTTTGTACGAGACGTTGTTGCTGTGCAGAAGCTTGATGAAGTGCTTGGCCGCGTCGCGATCGTGCTGTAGCTTGTCCATGATCGACGGCGAACTGTCGCCTTCACTCAGCTCGCCATCTTCGCGGTCGCTGTCCGTGACTTCCTGTACGCGCTCGGGCAGTGGAGGCTGGGGAGGCAGCGACGGTGGGGGGAAGGCCATGTTGGGAAAGGGCGGCGGCGGCGGGAGGTTTGGGGCACCTGGAGGGAAGGAGCCACTCTGGAAGAGCGCCCAAAGATTGGCATCGGGCGGAGGAAAGGCAGGGAACGGGGGCTGCTGGCCGTTCTGCGCATACGGGGCGAGGTTGATGCCCGGGATGCCCGGCAGCTGCTGCATGGGCGGGGGATGCGCGTAGTTGTTTGCCATGACGCGCGGTGATGGAGGAGCGTGGGCAGTTCGTGAGATATTAGCATCGCGACAGTATCGAGAAGTGTCCGTGCATGCTCCACCCAATCACGACCCCGGCTGTTGCTAGGGGCCCCAGCGGCTGTCATTGTTTACAACAACTTTACGTGCAGCGTCTGTACCAGCAAAGCCTCCCTAGGGTTCCTTTTGCATGTCTGCACCCGCGTCCCCGCATACTACTGTACATACTGGGGCAATGTCAATCAACTAAGCCCAAATGACCCCTTCGGATACGACGACGACTGCACCACGACAACACCACCACCACTCACCACCATGAGCGCGAACGGGCCCGCGCCGAATGGCCGACCCTTCGCCCGCAACTCGCGCGGCACTCCCTTTGCCAGGAACTCGGTCTCCTCGCCGCTGCACGAGGCCGACGACTCCCCCATGGGCCACCTGCGCAACCGCTCCCTCACCAACCTCACCAGCCCGCCGCTGGGCCGCAGTGACTCGGCACGCCTGCGCTCCAACTCGAACCGCAACAGCACGCCCGTCGGCACCTTTGCCCCGCAGTTCATCTCCGAGGACGACGACGCTGCTCCGCGCCTGGGTGGCATCGTGGAAGGCGAGAACGACTTCTCCGGCAAGCGCTATGTCTGGCTTAGGGATCCCGTCACGGCCTTCGTCCGCGGATGGGTCGTCGAGGACCTGCCGGGCGGACGCATCCTCGTCCAATGCGACAATGGCACACAGCAGGACGTCGACGCCGACGCCATCGACAAGGTCAATCCGGCCAAGTTCGACAAGGCCGACGACATGGCGGAACTCACCCATCTGAACGAGCCCTCGGTCATCCACAACCTCCACATGCGATACCAGGCCGACCTGATATACACCTACTCCGGACTCTTTCTCGTCACCGTGAACCCCTACTGCCCGCTGCCCATCTACTCGCGAGAGTACATCAACATGTACCGGGGCCGGAGTAGGGAGGAGACCAAACCGCATATCTTCGCCATGGCTGATCATGCCTTCCGGAATCTCATAGAGGAAGGCACCAACCAGAGTATTCTCGTGACGTGAGTCAGCCCAACATCTAAACCAACCGTAACTGACCCCCTACAGCGGAGAATCCGGTGCTGGTAAG